GCCTTACAAATGGCTCTTGGGGACCACCATTGTCCTTTGCTATTTTAGCTTTTGTTTTTGGCCAACGGTTAGTTCTTTCAAGAACACAATACAATAATACTCCTATTGTTTTGTGAATAAAAAAGTATCATTATTATTATTATTTTATGAATTTTCTTTTGGATATTTCTTGAATCCTGACTGCATCAAAATTAGATTATTTTTATATAAATTTAGAAATAAAAATCAACATTATTTTAAAATTTTAATTTAATATATTATACATAAACTTTAATTGTATACAATTATATATATATATATTAAATTCTAATTTGATAAGAAATTATTAAAACTAATTCTATATGTCCGATTGATAGAACTATTGAAATTTTAAAATCTGAACTAACTTTAATAGTTTGTTAGTTAAATAATTTAAGTTATATTTGTTTGTTGAATTTATATTATTTAAAAAATTTAGTTAATTAATTTAAGTTATGTTATAATAAAAAATAGTTTATTAGTTATTTCAGTTATATTTTAAAAAATTTAGTTTGTTAGTTTATTAGTTTAGGGTTTATAATTTAGAGTTTAGGGTTTTATGTTTCCGATTTTATTAGCATCAAAAACAATTTGTTAGTTATATATAAAAATATTTAATTAGTTTGTTAGTTATATAGTTTAAGTTATATTTTTTGTTGAATTTATATTATATAAAAAATTTAGTTAATTAGTTAATTAGTTTAAGTTATATTATAATAAAAAATAGTTCATTAGTTAGTTTAAGTTATATAAAAGAATAGTGTATTAGTTGTTTAAGGGGAAAATTCACGTTTAAGTTATGATTTAGGGTTTATAGTTTGTTAGTTTAGGGTTTATAGTTTATGGTTTAGGGTTTAGGGTTTATAGTTTATGATTTAAGGTTTAGTGTTTAGTGTTTAGGATTTAAGGTTTTAGGTTTCCACTCGTGTTGCATATACTATAAACCCTAAACCCTAACCTTAAATCATAAACTATAAACCTTAGTCTATAAACCCTAAACCAAAAACCAAAAACTATAAACCCTAAACAATAAACCTTAAATACTAGACCTTAGACCCTAAACCCTAAACTATAATTTAGTTTGTTAGTTTAGGGTTTAGGGTTTATAATTTAGGATTTAAGGTTTATTGTTTAGGGTTTATGGTATAAGATTTATAGTTTATGATTTAAGGTTAGGGTTTAGGGTTTATAGTATATGTAACATTAGTGGAAACCTTAAATCCTAAACACTAAACATTAAACCATAAACACTAAACTATAAATCCTAAACCCTAAACTAACAAACTAACAAACTAATTCTTTTATATAACTTAAATTAACTAATAAACTGTTTTTTATTATAATATAACTTAAACTAATTAACTAATTAACTAAATTTTTTATATAATATAAATTCAACAAACAAATATAACTTAAACTATTTAACTAACAAACTAATTAAATATTTTTATATATAACTAACAAACTATTTTTGATGCTAATAAACTTGGAAACCCTAAACCTAAACTCTAAACTAATAAACTAATAAACTATAAACCCTAAACTAACAAGCTAACAAACTAATTCTTTTATATAACTTAAACTAACTAATAAACTATTTTTTATTATAATATAACTTAAACTAATAAACTAATTAACTAAATTTTTTATATAATATAAATTCAACAAACAAATATAACTTAAATTATTTAACTAACAAACTATTAAAGTTAGTTCAGATTTTAAAATTTCAATAGTTCTATCAATCGGACATATATAATTAGTTTTAATAATTTCTTATCAAATTAGAATTTAATATATATATATATATATAATTGTATAAAATTAAAGTTTATGTATAATATATTAAATTAAAATTTTAAAATAATGTTGATTTTTATGTCTAAAATTTTATAAAAATAATCTAATTTTGATGCAGTCAGGATTCGAGAAATATCCAAAAGAAAATTCATAAAAAATAATAATAATGGTACTTTTTTATTCACAAAACAATAAGAGTATTATTGTATTGTGTTCTTGAAAGAACCAACCGTTGGCCAAAAACAAAAGCTAAAATAGAAAAGGACAATGGTGGTCCCCAAGAGCCATTTGTAAGGCTAAGATAACGTATAAAAACAAGAAACAAAGGCGCAAATGTTCATATATTGCGGGGCGTGCATGGTGACCTTTGCTTGGTCGTTTTGATTACATGGCGACCTGCTTGGTCGTTTTGATTACATGGCGACCTGTAAGATTACTGTAGCAATAACCTCATTTTAAAAAATAATTTTTCAACAGTAATATTTGACGAAATTTTTTTTCAACGCATTATCTAAAAAATTTAGCCGTGTTGAACCATTAATAACAATAATAATATTTTTTTATTAATGGGTTTAATAAATATTATATACTTTAATATAATGCTCTTACAGCGCCACTTTAATATAATGCTCAAATAAAAACCTCATTTCCTCCCTGCACTAATCCCTTTGGACTAAGCAATATCTAATAGAATATGGCATGACTGCGTGGCGACCAACAATGGCGCACAGCTTGCATGGCGACCAAAAATGGCGCACCACTTGCATGGCGACCTAAATAGGTCGTTTGAACCACCTGGCGACTAACACAATGACTGTAACAATCGCCCCATTTCAACAATTAATTCTTCGAGAGCAATATCTAATATAATGCTCAAATGAAAACCTCATTTCCTCCCTGCACTAATCCCTTTGGACTAAGCAATATCTAATAGAATATGGCATGACTGCGTGGCGACCAACAATGGCGCACAGCTTGCATGGCGACCAACAATGGCGCACCGCTTGCATGGCGACCTAAATAGGTCGTTTGGACCACCTGGCGACTAACACAATGACTGTAGCAATCGCCCCATTTCAGCAATTAATTCTTCGAGAGCAATATCTTGTGAATTTTTTTTCCTAAAACATTATTACGTGAGTTTGGCCATTAAAAAATCACCCAATAATTTTAAATTTTCTAAAATTTTTAAATAATTTCTATTTGGGTAGAACAAAGAAGAAATTTTGTTATTAAACTTACACTTATGAAGAGGGAATGTTTCAACTAAAAACTTTTAAACATATGATGTAAACAATGGCGATGCACGTAGATTTTAGGGTGGACACGTACACACTTTAAAACTCGAAGTTTTTTTCATTAATATATGTATGCTCGTTCTAAATTTTATGTCTCCACCTTAAAATTTTATCGTATAAAAAGTTTTATATTATTAACTAAGCTTATGTAAAGTAGTTAATTGCTTTGATTGAACTTATAAATTTCCTCCAATCCATGTGGATACGATACTCAATCATCACTGTATTACTTGTCCGATTGTGTATACTTGCACATATTTTGTGACCATATTTAATAGTCACAAATCGAGGACAACGATGATAAAGGCCAATTGACGATGACCAGTAATGGGGTTATAAAGGAAGGATTTTAGGGTTTTGAGTTCTTTTTTATTTTTTGTAATTTTAGAAAAATGATTTTTTTTGAATTAGTATTATTCTTAATTTTTTTTTAAAATATTTTAAAAATATAAATGTGACATGTGTCACTTAACGGCCGAATTCAACAATCGTTACAATTCATGCACCAAAAGTGTAACGTTGAAAATGTTAGACATCAATTTTTAATGGAAAAAATCTTTAAGCATCTAAATTAACTTTGGGTATAGTTTGAGCTATTAATTTTATAGTAAGCTTAAAAGAATTAAATAATTGATAATAAGAAAAAAAAATAACAACTTTTCAAAATAAAATGGGAAAAGAATATTTTGAAAAATAATTATAATTTAAAATTCAAATTAAATAAAAATATCATGACCAATACATGATTTCCAGGCAAGCAAACAATAACTTAAGTCAGCAAAATGTAGGATGTCATTTTCATGTTGTTGATTTTAGGCTCGAGTAATTAAAATCGAAATTATTTAAAATTTAACGATTATTTGAAAAAATTAGTGATTAAAATAGGAATGAGAAGAAAGTTGAGTGATGAAAATTTGAATTTACCCTAATGGGCTGGGAAAGTCTGATTCATCGTCTCTCCCGCGAGCGAGCGATGTCGTGGTTTTCTGTGTTTTGAGAAAAAAAAAAGTGCGCAATATTAATTATAAACGAAATCTCGTGCGTTCATTCGCACTACCTAATGACGAGTTAGTTCTCGCAAACACCAAGACAAAACAAATTAGAAAACATTCAGGCCAGGGTACCTTAAAAAACAGAGCATCGAGTTGGAACAATGTCGAAAGGTTCTCCCCACAATTTCAGATATCTATCTTTCCAACATCCAGAAGCTGAAAATCGCGCTCTCATGCTACTCAATGATGCATTGCTTGCTCTTCGACCTCACCAGCTTTATTCATCAAAACAGAGCATCGCCATTCTAGCTCTCGCGATGACCAAAGCAACATGCATTTTTTCCTTTCATCGATCGAGAAAGCAGAGATTTTCAAGCTTATATAAGCCTCAAGAGTTGCTTGAAAAATCCAACCAAAGCTACATTCATCCTTCTTTCAGAAAACGAAAACACTCGAATTCGCAGAGTCCCGAAGAACATGTCGTCGGTGATGGGGCAAGTTTATCTTGACGGAAACAATGAAGCAGGATGGAGGTTTGATGATCATAGCGGTACACTTGCTGAAGCTCGTGGTCATACAATTGAGTTGACGGTCACAGACGGGTCTGACTGGTGGAAATTTAAATGCAAGTGTTTAGGAGGCAACACGTACTACATCAGTGGTTCAGGGTGGACTCGTTTCTTCAAGTGGGCGGGGAAGAAAGCCAGGGTCACACTTTATTCCAAAGAAGACGGCCAGGACTTTCACCGTGTCCATGTGAAGTAGCAGGGAGCTTGATCGAGTATGGATGCTATTTGTGGGATTGAAGTCTTATATTTCTTCTTTTATTTCATAGATAAATCACGTACGCTTCTGTGATTTGCAGCTTTGTTTTGTTAAGGCAGGCAGCATTCTACTGCATTGTCAAGGTCTTGTATTCCTTAAGATTATCAATGAAATGTTTATTAAGCAACTTCAATGTGAAATGGAACAAATATACAAATCTGAGTCACCTTAATTTAACTCAAACCGTAAAGACAGAGTTTACTCGAAACAGAATAACAGATGGCCTTATCTTTCCTGGTTTTAAGGCATTCGCTTCACCCATGGATGCATTGATGATCCAAAGTATGTATCCATAAGGCTACACGAACAACTTCCAATTCCAAGTTCTCGGGTATAACATTTTCTTGTTTACTTGCTTATTAAGCCAGGTGAAAACAAGGCATTACTGTCCGGGATTTCCTAGAAGTCTCTCGACCGCAGCATGGACATTTCCGGCAGTAGCTATACAGCCCCTTGCGTATCATTGAAACCCATTTCTTGGAGTTGTGATAATTGTTGCTCCGACTAGGAAAATAAATTTTTTTAGGGAACTATGATGTTAGAGATTAACAATAATAACCCTATACAATTTTATAAGACTTGTTTTCTATAAATCAAGATTGGGGTAAGTGGATTTTTTCACCTTAACATCAGTATCATGCATTTGAGAAATGTTTGAAGCAAATATACAAAATAGGTCTTGAAAACTGGAGTTCAAGTTCAAATTGCAGACCTGCACTTAATCTAAAGTGCATATTTACAAACACCAGACGTCCAGGCCGCATGAACAGAATTGGTACCGTAGGCATTGACTGGATCCCATGTCCTATGAAGAAACATTAGACAACAAGCTATTTACAGCCGCGTTACACGGTTCAGATCATTACAATGCAAACAACATAATCACAATCTTTGTAATGCAGCAGAGCGAATATTAGGTCATCAATATTGTCAAGATGTATATGTATTGTCAAAATGAAGCAACTTTGTATACCCTCTCGAGAGGAATACACCGGTAATGAGCTCACCCCCCAATATATAGGATTAGGTCGAAGGTCATCCATTTTATTTACGCTTCTGTATCCATCGATCTCCGTGACACCTGTGTTGCCCGTACGGGCTAGATATTCACTGTAGTCATCTTCTGTGTAGAAAATCATCTCCTCAGTGTGGACTGGTATATGATCTGACTCGTCATAGAGGCACACTTTTATAGCCAAACCTGAATGCAGGAGGTAAAAAATGCACAAAAAATAAGTACTTATTGTGTTATTCTCTTCTATCAGTGAAAAAAATGTCAGCAATCATGTGCCCCAGACATGTTTGATAGCAAAATGATGATGTCTTAGAGTTTGACACGTTAATTCTGACGCAAACCCGACTCAACTTAATTTGATCATAAAAAGTCAAACACCAAAACGCATGGAATGAAGCTAATATGTTAATTCCATAAATTACCAGAATTATATCGTCTGAAGGCACCCCATGCCGATGTTACCTTCATCAAGGTGGAGTGTATAATTCCCTAAAGGAATTACCACAATAATGATATCAGCTGGAGTTTTGTCAATATCAACTTCATTAACATGATTAAAGCAAACAAAACTTATTATAAAGCACTCATTATAACCATCGACAAAATTGGAAGCCTACTATGTCAAAGTTATTTCAAATCAAAGAAATTCCCATAGTGAAATAACTACAAGTAACCTTCTTTTCCCCCTTTCCCAATAGCAATTATAATGCCCTCATTTAAGTCACTTCAGGAAGTAACCTTAAACAAATTCAACCTAAAAACTAATAGCAACTTTATGACATGCTCCGACTCTTCATTCCCCTGAAGCAAAAAATTCTTTTAGATGCATGGACAATTAAAGTCTACGAGAGATGAGGACTGGTGAAACAGCAAACTACCTCTGAAGCAACTTCATCAACTATGATTTGAATTAAGATAGCTCTATTCAGTATTTAATTACAATGGCACACATGTTAAAGTATCTGATTGTTCATTTCTTATGCAGCTGATTCGTCGATGATAAAATCCACTGTTATTTTTTACAAAGGTTAGACCAGTTAACACAAAGAAAAACTATTTGGTTCCCTCTTAATTGGTTGAAGTACGTGAATACAACAAATATAAGGCCCTGGATATTTTACCTGCTTTGCAACAAGATGGATTTATCATTTAGATGACCCTCGACATCACAGCAGACCATCCGAACGGAAAACATGATCCTTTGAAGCAATAAATTCTTTTAGACGCATGGACAATTAAAGTCTCCGATAGATGAGGACTGGTGAAACAGCAAACTACCTCTGAAGCAAGTGATGGATCCATTGGAACTTTGCTGGGACTAGATGCAACAAATGCAACTGCATGCTTTTTGATCCGGTTATCAATTGCATTGAACTGTACCAATGATAAGCCATCTTAGTAACATACATTGCTGATAAAAGAAACAAATTATTGATGCTATAATAACTGTAAGGTACCCCGTCTTCAATCCTGTCATACAAGAACCTGGAACCTCGTTCCGGCCCTGATCTGTGGACCACCGATGAACAACCTTGCTGAGCTTGAATCCTTTTGATAATGCCATCCTCAAGATTCTCATGACTTCACTGCTGTTGGCAGTCTCTATAGCAGGAAGATTATCAGTGTTGAATTTGACCACAAATTTGTTACATAGCGTACCAAATCATGTCACTTGTTTTGATTTTCTCTCAGAAGAAAAAATGTTCCCATTCGTTTTATGTGCCGAGTCATATATGTCCAACTGAAGTTTCTGAGATTTCTCTGTTGGAGTTCCAAGAATAACATTGTTTGTATCTCCATCCTCAGCACCTAAAACCCTGGCCAAATCACATCCCATGATTTAAAAACTAACTTAATCAGAAACTGTGCAATGTATTCCAAAACACAGAACTAGAAGCCTGGCAATGCTTCAAGAGGAAATTCACCACAATTACCAAGAAAATAAGAACATCCACAAATGCCATACGGTTTCTACTGAGGGATTCAACAACAATTAGAGCCTAGAGATTCATTTCTTTCCATCGATCCCCCACCTGCACCAAACCTGAACTTAATTTAAGTTCTAGTACCCTCAACTGACCCCGAAATGAAAAAAACCCCTGAGCTGCCCTGTAACTTAAACTCTATTCTAAAAAAACTACCAACTAAATCAAATATAGATCATTATATATATATAACCTATGATAAATATCAGCAAACTTAACAAACCATAATTAAAATATAAAAAAAGTTCTAAAATTAAGAGAGGCATATTAGTAAATATCCCTGGTAGGTGGATTTTGTATAAAACAATTCCAACCTGAACCCAAAAATCTTAATGGAAAAGCCACATGACCTGGCCTAACTAGAATCCGATTTTCAGAAAACCACTTCTCTAGGGTCGGGGCGGAACACGATAGGTTTGGATTATTTTAACAACTCTTCCATATGATTTATACTGGGATTCAACAAGTGCACAAAAGTTTCGTATCCTCTTAGGCCCATTCAATCAAACACCCCCCCCCCCCAAAACACAAAAAAAACTATATACAAATGCAAAAGAATCAAATGATAACCTAACAATATAGCATGAAAAAAATGCTCACATGTCAACGTCTTTAAAAGAGTACATATGCTAATCAGCATCCTTTTTATCAAACACCGCCCTTGCTTGTTTTGTTCTGCAGGTGTCCTAAAAACCCATCCATTTCAACATCCCTTTCAATAAGTTCATCAAGATGTCTGCACCAAAAGTAGTTTTTTAGAGTATTAACACTTCCGTAAACATAATAAATATTCAAGATTTAAGCAAAAACAAAGAAAACGAAATCATATAACAAATTTCTCCGAATACAAATACTAACAAAACAAAAGAGGATTAGCTAAATCAGTAGAATTAACTATTGAGATAATAAACCGCCCAGCTTATAACGACATCGGAAGGCTGGAGACTGTAATCTCGACAAAAAGTACGGCCTAACCAAGTAAATAAATAATTCAGGTCTTTGTTTACCATTAATTATTAAGAAAAAATAGAACGATAAATTTGAAAATTTAAAAAAGAAAACTCACATTTTTTTAAGTATCTCTTCTTCGTCAAGTGTAAACCCACTCTTCAAGAACTCTGCTTTGATCTTCTCTTCCATGGGTGCCTCCGTCTTTCTTTCTGATTCTATCAGTTGATTCTGTCAATCTAATTTAGGGTTTTCTTTTTGCGGATGAGAGAAATGGCGGGAAAATCTTCGCTTTGGATAAGTAGATGGAAGAAAAACGGGGCTTCTGCGCTCTCGCGGGGATTTTGTTGTTCCAATTTATTGTTAGCCTAGCCCCCAACTTTTTTGTTTATTAGCGATTATACCCTTCTTAGGCTTAGATGAGCCCATACTTTTATCTTAAACTTATATAGACTCGAGTTTTGATAATTAAATTTTTACCTTTAGTCCATTATTTATTCTAGTTAAATATATAAAAGGTGAAATTTATTATTATTATCCGATTAGATTGAGTTGAATATTTATTATTTAAATTTGAATCCACACGTGAACTCATCTTAATCTTATCTTTTTTAAAATTTGATTTGATTTACAAATTTTTAAAACAAAAAAAATTAACTCTATAAGATCATGTCGAATCAAAATCTATTAAATTCGGATCAAATGCACATTGTTAGGTACAATTTTAGAGAGTCAAAAGATAAGAATTCATTTAAAGAGTAAGTTGAAAAATGTTAGGAGATTTCGATATTGATATAAATGAAAATAAAGTATAGGAATTAAATAAAGAAAAATGGAAATTTTAGGAATTAAACACTAATTTATCTCAAAATCAAAGTATCATCGTGCTAAAATGGTCCGCAAGCGAGTTGGTTTTAGATTTCCTCTTAGTAAAAAAATTTAAACAAGACTCTATTCAAATTGGAAAATTAATTTTGTTATTCGATTAGATGTTAAAAAATTGATTCAATTTAATTCGATTTGTAATTTCATAAACTCAACACGTCTTGAAAATTTTCAAATTCAAGTTAAATTGTAAAATGGAAGTCGAATAACTCAAAAATTTTAATAACTGATAATTTGATTTTCAAGTTTAAGTCGAGTCACTCAACTATGCATGGCATACACACACGTCACATATTAAAAAAATATGAAATAATAGTTATGTATACAATAGTTTATAGAAAAGTTGCCTAAAGTCAAATATTAGTACCATAATATACTAATGGGGTTAGTTCAAGTGGTAAACATCTTGATATCACTTAAACAAAGTCTCAGGTTCGAGTCCTTATGTATGCATAAAATCTTCGATGGGAGACTCACCCATCAAAGTCAGGTGTGTGATATGGGTCGGTCTGGATTAATCTAAAAAATCAAATAAAAATTATAGAATAAGACTTATCAATTTGGATAATTAAAATTTTTTTCTTGATTCAAGCTCGTTCAAACGACAGTCTGGCTGTTTAACAAGTTTATGAAGATTGAAGCCGGTCCGTGAAAACTCTAACATCCAACACCGAGCTGTTAGTTAATTCACGCATTGGCTATCACCAACATAAAAGCCATGCAATCATTTTTATTCCTTCATTTGAGATTAAGGTGGTCCGTCAATTATACATGTCACAAACCAATAGAATTGTAATATGAAAGCCAGCCATCGACCTATCTAAATACCCAAAATTCATCGCTTGAGTACAAATTATTAATAAGAGTATAAAGAAGAGTGAATGCAAAAATAAGTATATAAATTAAATCCTAAGTTAACTTTAAGTGTTTAAAAAAATCGTTAAAAATAAGTATCTAATGTTTTTTTTTCTAATACAGTTTTAGGTGCCTACACAGTAAATGCCACTTAAAAAATTTGTTAAATGACGCATGTCATACTTATAATTTTTAAAATTTTTATTTTAGGAAAAACATAAAAATATTATTAAAAACATTTAAAAAAATCAAAATCCCTAATTTCCTCACCCCTCCCCTTGCGTGTCTCTCCTTCCCAAGCCCACTGCTAGTATCGGAGAAATCAATGTTTTGACTTACTAGATATCAACTATATGAATATTTTGAGACAAATAGGGTGAGGGATTGAATATTTGAGATTTTAGGAATTTAAGTTTAGGAATTTATTGATTTAGGGGGATTAGGATGTCTACAAAAGGGATAGTCGACAATGGAGGTCCGACGAAGGGTGAGTGGTCGTTCGACGATGACAAA